AACAGCAACAACAACAGCAGCAACAACAACAGCAACAACAGCAGCAACAACAGCAACAACAACAGCAGCAACAACAACAGCAACAACAGCAGCAACAACAACAGCAACAACAACAGCAACAACAACAGCAACAACAACAGCAACAACAGCAGCAACAACAACAACAGCAGCAACAACAGCAGGAGCAACAACAGCAGCAACAACAACAACAACAGCAACAGCAGCAACAACAACAGCAGAAACAACAACAGCAGCAACAACAACAGCATAACAACATCAGCAATAACAAGAGCAGCAACATCAGTATAACGAAAATTGCAACAATAATAAAAGCAGAAAAACGATACAACAATGGATTGAGCAACAACAGCAACAGCATCAATCAACCTCATTTAGATATCAAGCATTGTATTTATCGTCTTCAGTTTTTATCTTTCTTTTCACACAGCTAATTCATCCTAAGAAACAAAGCAAGAAAAAAAACTACAAGAATTCAGGAACGGTAATATACAATTACACATTTGAGGGGGGAGTGGAGGGGGAAGGAGGGTGCGATAATTAATCCCACTTACCTTAACAAATTACCCCTCCGTCCCCTCTCTTAGTAAAACACATGCAGATATTTTTGCACTCAAGGGGGATGTGAGGTGAAGAGTACCGCAGGACCCCACCTGTCGATGCCTCAACTTCTTCTTAACTTTCTGTAAATCTTTTTAAACCTTTTCTTTGCAGATTTCCATCCTTCATGCAAAAGTCGAACAGCAGCCCTCGTTTTTGGATTACATCAGAGGAGGGTATGAATGATGATTTTTGTGTATTTTAAAGTAACTTTTGAATCTCCACTGTTAAGAACTCTTACAATATAAGACTATGTATACTGGTAGATCAGAGTATTATTTAAAAAACGTTTTACAACCATCATCTCCTGTAAGGTTTGCTCCACATGCACTACCACTACATTCTATATTACAACATACATTCAACTCACATACAACACTCAACTCACTCATGATCACTATTGCCTACAATAAATGTTGCACCATGCTTTGTGCCATCTTTAGCATTGCCAAGTTCACAAACCTTGTAAATTATTCTATTTGGAATATGTTTTTTATTTTATAGGATGCGGATCAACTTCATTGTAGCAATAGATTTTACTGCATCTAATGGTTAGTACCAAGTTCTCTTCATCCCAATAGTCCCTTTAACAGTTCCCTGGGCCATCTTGAAAGGTAACTGTGCCTTTGCATCACGAAACGAACGGTTACCTTGCATTTTAGAGACCTTCTTTAACACCTTGAAATTTTTTTCACGTTTATCTATCATTGCAAGCTCACCGTTCATTTCGCAATGCAAAGGCACAGCTACCTTTCAAGATGGCGCAGGGAACTGTGTTTCCTGTGGACACGTTTGTCTCAGAATGGTTTTTTATCTTTTTATCTACATCTGAACCTTGTTTGGGCTACCTGTGGAAACGTTTATCTTCTTATCACTAGGTGACCCTCGAAATAGTAACTCACTACATTTTATGAACCCTTACGAGCCTAATCTGTACGTCAAGGCATTGACATCAGTAGGATCTATCTGTGAAGACTACGATACGTAAGTAATATACAGTATAGAGCTGTTTTCCCACGAGTGCGACACGATCTTATGCAGCAACTGAATTCGTAGCCGCACCGTATATTACTGTAGTCGTAAACACGTGTTGTGATTGGATAAATTACTGGGAGACAATGGGAAGCCATTTCAATGTTACGGCATGTCGTAACAAGACAAGACAGTACAATACGTTTCCCACTCGTGCGATAATTATTGTTAAGGGAAGCCATTTCAGTGTTGCGGCATGTCGTACCATGCTGTAATTAAGTACCATACGCTTCCTACTCATGAATACGAAAATCACTCTAGTGGCTGAGGCTTATCCGCTATTCTTGACCTCAGACTGCCATACCATTCTTACTGCGCATACTCGACAAAATGCCAGAGGCTTGTCCTACGTTACAGACGTGTCATGCTGTAAGATTAAAGAAGTTGTGTGCGAAGATTTTGATTGGATGAATAGTTATTTCTGGCTTTTTGATTGGTTCGATGATGTCGTCTCAAGTGCCGTGATCGTGCCGAGTAAATTAACATTATTTTTCACAGCCGTGCAAAAAGAAAAAAAAAGCATTGAAGACGCGATTACACGGAGCAATTTTCTCTGCAACTTGTCTCGCAACAGCGTTGAGTGTTCATACGGTGCAACGGAGACGGATTGTTGCCAAAAGTAAAAAGGAATTCTACTTTTCGCAACGATTGCTGCGACTTGTCTCGCAACATTTTTTTAAATTGCGCTGTAGGTTACGCGCTGTAGTGCTACATGCAACTTGTGTTACAAGGCCGTTGCGAGACAAGTTGCTCCTTGTAATCGCGCCTTTAAAGATTAATCAATTTCCACATTATATATATTTTTTCCATTTTACAGAGACAAAATGTTCCCAGCCTTGGGATTTGGCGCCAAACTACCGCCCAGCTGGCAGGTATCTCATGACTTTTCTTTGGTAAGTTTATCGTGTGTTCTTATGGGTTGCCTGTGTTTTCGTAGGCCTTGCAACTGTTTTCATTGCTACTCGCTGATCGAGTCACAGCATGTAAAGGTACCGAACAATTTCTTTGATTGACTGACGGGTACTCTATTGCCTGATTTCCTTGTCAAGACTGTTGTCTCGATCAGCGCGTAGCAAAGAAAACAGTATTAATATAATGTCGTCTCGTTGCAGAATGGTGTCCCAGAAAATCCTTTTTGCGATAGAGTAGATGGTGTTATCGCTGCATACTACAACAGCATTCAAAATGTCAAGTTGTACGGTAAGCTGAATGTATGTTGTCAACAGTTGTAAGACGAAATGGAAAATACTTTTCATTACCTTGTTAATCATTCTTTTCTCAGTCATTGACATTCGGTTTTAGCGGAAATCCTCCTTTTTGCGTATTTTGTAATAACAATACTAAAGTAAACAAAGTAAGTTTATATCATAAAATTTCGAAAAAATTGGTTGTGAAAAATTAAGAATTCAAAAATTCAGCATCTCCCCAGGACTACATTATACCGTTTTGATTGCAGAATTTGGTAGAAAACGATGTTTTCTTATGAGATGCATAGTATTCTGTATATTTGTTTTATAAAGAACACGACAATTTGTTTATTCTGAACGAGTTTCAGATGAAATCTTGAAAAAAAATACGATAAAGACCTTTTGATTTTAACACTGTTTTAATTTATAATTAATACATTGTCTTTTATCAGGACCAACAAACTTTGCACCTGTAATATGGAGAACTGTTAAGTACGTCAAACACTTTCATATATTTTTTATCATTTACATTAATACTTATCCATCTCAACTCAGCCATTCTCTTTTTTTTATTCCCATTCCTCTACCCTATCCCTTTCATTTATTCATTCACTTACCCATCCATCCATATCGTATCTATTTCATCTATCTATCCATTTTGTGAAACACATCCCATTCTGTCTAATTCCATTCATAAATCCATTTATCCACCCATCCTTTTAACGGTCCTTTGTCATTCATTCATTCAT